CAGCTTGGAGAATCGACATAAGGATGCCAATGGTAGTATGCCAAGAAGGTCCAGTAGCAGTGATAGGAGTATTCTAATTTTCCTATTGCTTCATCTTTGCTATAGACCTAGCCTTCCTTTGTAGCTTCCTTTTTTCAAAACTGCTGTTTCCAGCATTCCCATCTTGCTTGTGAGTTGTCCAGTATCCTTTTCTTTTTTTCTCCCCCGCAACCCCCACCCCTGCCGAAACTAGGGATTGGACCCAGTGTAGCTTTATCAATGAGCTACATCTCCAGCCCTTTTTCTAAATTTTATTTTGAGAAGGGTCTCACTAAACTGCCCAACCTGGCCTGGAAATCGTAATTCTTCTGTCTCAGACTCCCTATAACTCAAATGACAGGTGTGTGTCACTGTACTAGGCTTCAATATCCTTTTGTTAGGAAATAGGCTAAAAGAGCCAAAATAAATTGCTAAAATAAGTTAAAAATTCATGACCCTCTCTTGACACATTCTAGAGGTGAATAGACTAGTGTCACTGGTTACTACAGTAGTTGCCATTTACCAGTCAAAAAAAAAAGAACTGGACAACCTAATAGTTGTATACAGCATTCCCACCCACAGCCTTGAAAACAAAGCCACACTAGCTGCAAGGTAGGATGAGAACTGTGTCATGAGGCTTTAAGGCCAAGGGATAAACTAAAAGTCAGTGGATCCTATTTCCAAAAGAAACAAAGGCCTCATACAGTAGCACATGCCTATAACCCCAACAGCCCAGTAGTCTGAGACAGGAGGATCAGAAATTCAAAGCCAGCCTCATCAAATTAGTGAGGCCCTAAGCAACTCAGTGAGATTCCATTTCAAAATAAAATAAGAAGTGTTGGGCATGTGGCTCAGTGGTTAAGTGTGTGTGGGTTCCATTACCAGACCAAAAAAAAAAAGGTGGGGGAGAGCAGGATGAATATTGGAAAATGGTATTCTCTCTCCAGTAGCTGACTTTTCTAATTTAATAAGCAAGAACTACTTCTGTTGTTTTCAACCAAAGACTCCCAGGGATTCAGAAACACACATGAGAGAGAAACCTGAAGCCACCATGATTAAAGGAGTTGGTGGGGGAAACATCACATTTTGGAGTCCACTTTGAAAATCACTGTACTATTATACTCTCTTCATATGAACATAAATTCAATTTGTTGTATTTTTTATTTTGATATCTTTTTAAAAATTTCTCATCTATTTCCATGTTTCAAAGTCATCTTAAGAGATCAATTCTTTCCAAAGTTGACTTTTTCCCTTATGTGACTTAACTAAGATTTAAATAAATTTTATTAAGTGAAAAATGTCAGAGAAACCACAATGTCCTTCATTCAGTAGGTGAATGGATAAACTGTGATATATCCATATAATGGGATATTATTCAGTGCTAAAAAGAAATTAGCTATTAAGCCATAAAAACACATTCTGGAAACTTAAATACATATTACTATGTGAAAGACGTTAGACAGAAAAAGTTACATATTAAATGATTCCAATTTAAGTCACATGCCCCATAGTAACCATGTTTCAGTCAACAACAAACGACATATACAACTATGTTTATATCACCTAGTGACACCATACAAGTACACTATTAGGATGTTCACTCAAAACTGCCTAACATATCTTTTCTCACAATGCATTCCCATTATTACACAACACATTACTTTATATGACATCTAGGAAAGGGGAAACTGGCGAGACAGGAAAAAAGATTAGTGGTTGCCATGGACTGAGGAGGGAATGATGACAAAGCAAGCACAAGGGATTTAAAAATGGATTCATGTCACACTACATTTATCTAAACACAGAATGTTCAACACCAAAAATGAACCCTAATATAAACTAGGACTTTGGATGACAGTGATTTTTTTTAGTGTAGATTTATCAATTCTAACATCTGTACAGCTCTAGTAGGAGATATTGACAATGAGGGAGCTCTGCATGTGTGGGACAGAGATTTCTGCACCTTCTGCTCAACTTTTCTATGAACCTAAAACTGCTATCAAAAATGAAGTCTATTTAGGGCTGGGGCTGTAGCTCAGTGTCAGAGCACTTGCCTCCCTTTTGTGAGGCACTGGGTTCAATCCTCAGCACCACATAAAAATAAACAAATATAATAATGGCATGCTGTCCATCTACAACTACAAAATTTTTTTTTAAATGAAGTCTATTTAAAAAGCCATAGAAGTAGACAATGTCATACAGGTGTCTCTTCTTTTATCAATATATTACACATGTAAATATCATTATCTTTGAGAAAAATAAATTATGACAAATTTAAACATTACACAACATAAACTGGTGTGCTTTTCAAAATGCTACACTTAGTATTTTTTACATTCTTTACAATTACAATATTTCTTGTCTGTTTGGGTTTGTTTTAAGTATTTTTATAGGAGAAGGGTGACACTTGGCTTTACTTGTGTCACCTATCTTTAAACTCCTATGTAATTTGGTAAAATGTATCAAACAATAAAAATATGAGAGCAGATGATTAAGAAAGAATTCAATGAAAAAGTTAAGGCTGGGGGAAAGAGTGATGGCTGAGCAGAAGTAGTAGAGATATTGTACAGAAAACAAGGAAACACAAAACCCAGGCAGGACAAACATAAGGCTTGTCCTCTGTGTTCTCTTAATAAGATCCCAGTTTCTGGGTGGTAACGTACATTTTTAAAACGAACAGAGAGTCAAAAAGAGTAAATAAAGTCAAACAATATCAGAGGACAAAATACAATGGAGGCAACAAAAATCTGTTATTCTAACCCAGAGAATCTAGTTCCAAATAACACATTCTATAAAACTGCCAGTTTTTGAATCTCATAAAGATTACCTATGCAGCCCTCACTTTAAAATGTCTAGTTCTTTGATTATTCCCTATTTGTCCTAGAAGCAAATATTTCTTTCCTTTTTACCTCACTGACTTCTCCTTAGTCTATGTATCGGAAATAAAAACATCATTTTCCCTCTAATGATTTTGTTCATAATTACACCAACTTTTAATTCTACTTTTTTAAATGCAGAATCAAGACTGGGTTTGAGACTTTGTCAAAGAAAACTATCTGCACATTGTGTTAACAACAGCATTCCACCTGGCCCTCTACCCTCAAAATATTCACTTTCAAAGATCAAATCCTTAATTAATAAATAAGAATATAAATAAGAAAAATATAAAATTTGTGTGACTTCTACATAATACTTTATAATTTATAAATTACTGTCACATTATTCTTATTTCAAATGTGTGTACACAAACACACATACATATACATTTCTTAGGCTGTTCATATTATAACTTTTCTTTAAAGTAAACATGCCAGTATTATGAGTATTTGCTTCCCCATTTCTATTTGCTTATAGAAATATCAGATTCAGGAAATTATATGATTTAGGTCATTTATACTGGTGAGAATAATAGAATGTGAATAAGCCAATAAACAAAAACTGGGAAAATGAAAGGTAATATTTTGAACCAGGTACATATTACAAAACCCTCAGAAAATAAAGCATTTCAAAGATGGCCTAATAGAAGAACAGAAAATGGATAGAGATGTTCATAAAGAATTTCATACAACATATTATTCTTTTGCTTTCAAGACTAGCAACTGAAGACCAGTTTGCAAACATTATGTGTATGAGTTATTCTTCTATTTATTTCTCAGGCTTTAATTTAAATTGATCTCAATGTACTATTTTGCATATAGAAAAAGAAGTAATCTGGGTTTCAGATTGAAGTTTTTAAAGAAACAATATCTCCAGGCACTAGAAAAAGGAAGGAGAAAAGTCAGAAATGATTAAAAATAGCCAGTAAAATATATACCCCTTTAATCAAAGAACTCTTATAAATTTGTAACAATCTATCATAATCACACTATATATTCAAATTCAATTTAATAAGAAATCACTTAATCTTTTGTAGTTGTCATAACTAATATTCTAAAATGTGATAACATGGGTTTAAGATAGGAATAACTTATACAAAGCCTAAATAACTTACAAAACCTAAATAATTCCACTAAGAAAATACTCAGCATACTCAGTAACACTTTTTATAAAATGTCATCTCAAGAATGATGAATACAACTACATGAGGAGAACCTTCTCTTTGGTTTTTACTTGGAAATGTCTAACAGAAACTAAAGCTACTATTGCTGCATGGTGTTATAACAACACACCATCATACTTTTGTAATCAATGAGTTATGCAATTAGTGAGTCAAACTCTATTGACGAAATTAATACATTGACACAAGGAAGCCTTTCAATATGTGAACAAAAATATAATTAGCAAAAGGTAGGCTCTGGGTGGGCAAGTGCATAGATGACTAAACCTATTCCTTAGTTTAACTCCCCAATGAAAAAAAATTATGACTTTATACCCAGATGCTGAAGTAAATAAAAACTCCCCAGCATAGTCTAAAATTAATCTTAATGATATATATTTATAAAAATTGTTAAGTATTATTTCCCAGGAATCTTTCTTTTATAATAGCCAGCCAAATACTTAAATCTTTTAAATACCTTTTGAAATATTCTCATGTTCTTTTTAAAATAGCCACAAGAGGTCAGTCTTCCCTAAGAAATGAGTAATATAATGCAGTACCTTGTGAGATAACCATTTATTGCAACACAATACTTAAGTTACCCATTATAAAGTAAATTTGAATGTACCCTATGTTGAATATAGTGAAGTCTTCAACTCTTTGGCGATTCAACAAAAATTACATTAGATCATGATGATCACACACCCTACAACTTAAAAAGTTTCATATATAACTTCATTTAATCCTCAAAATAGCAAGTAGACAAAATCTTTACCATTTCTATTTGTGAGGATGCAAATTTTATTAAGAAGTTAATTGTTAACCTGAACATTCTAAAAATAAAAACAAATACATGTGATTTGGGTATGCAAACTTCAATAAAATGAAAATAGAATTTGTATAATTAAATACATGTTTCAGAAGCTATTACACCACACAGGCTTACCTTGCCAACTATCATTACAGACACACAGTTTTTCTCCTGTCAAGTCACAGTACCCATGATCTGGACTGCCGCAGTTGGCTTTACAGTAAGGAATGTCACAAGCTTCACCCTTCCAGTACTTATCACATTCACAATACACTTGACTGGGAACGGAAACACTGGTTGTACACTTTCCATGGCCAGAGCAATTGTTAGGACAAGAATTGATTCTGTAAAATATAATTCATATATACTTAAATTCAAGATAATTAAAAAATTTTTTTGGTTGATATTTTATAAACTTTCTAGTTTTTATATTAAGTCTTATTTGCTTATTAATTTAATACAGTTTCACAATGTAGCTTCAGCCCGTTTTACAATGTAGCTTCAGCCCATTAGTCTGTAAGCTTTAACTCTCATGCATTTATTTGCAATTAGTCTTAGTCTGTTCAGTAAGTTTACTTTGCTACCAAGACTCCAAACATCGAAGGACTACACACACACTCAACATCTACAGAATCTGTATGGTTCCAAGAACAATTTTTTGTAAATACTTAAGTATTTTTAATAAATATTTTACAGAAAAAAATTAAATTCCATGAATACCTGAAAGTCTATAAGAAGCCAAGACATAACTTTGTTATATAACAGTTAAAGCACATGCTACTACCCATACACTCTAAAGAAAAAAAGGGTGTTTACCAAATTTCATTTTAAAGTTTTTAAACTAATTATATTCTATTATTTATTTTATAATATACATATTATATAATAATATATATTATACTATAAACTAATTATATTCTATTATTTATTCTCCATTGCATACATTTTTTTATATATTACATAATAAAGAAATACTTTAATAAATAGATGGTTCAGGGATATTTTGAATATTTTATTCCTGGCTTAATAAAAAAACCCTAGTTATCAATTTCTACCTTTATGAAGAAAAGAAGAAAATTAAGGTGTAGAATTTCTCTGTGGCCATTCCAATGAAAGCATCGCTGGCTACTTTACTTCACCTTGGGATTTCTAGATTTAAGTGCCAGACACATAATAAATTCTCATAAGTATTGTTTTTCGGATTTTTAGAGGGAGACAGTAGTATACCCACATACTTTTATCTCCTAAGCTGATTCAGTGTTCTCACATGTGTCATAGGAAAAAAATACCAACTTGAAAGAACTGATTAAAAAGAAATTAAATGACATAATATATTATGTCATTTAGGACAGTCTCTGGTCTAGAGAAGGACTACCAAAACTTAGCTTCACACCCCTCTTCAAATTACAAATAAAATACATTAGAAATACAGAAAGGCAGCTCTGCACTCCCTGTATGCTCATGTATCTGTTGCTACCAATAAAGCTACACTGGATTTTAGGCATCTGCCAACAATTTTAAATTTTGTAATTAATATTCAACCAAACTTAACTTGCCACCATAACATCCTCAGACTTAGATATTATCCCAACATGGGCTTAGATAGCATTTGGTGGTACATTGTTACGATTTCATCACTTAAGAAAGGATCCTACATATAATTTGAGTAACACACTAACCTGCTCCTGACACATAACACATAATACAAAGATAAGTTTTGTAAAAAAAAAAACTTACGAATAAAAAATGTTGAAACCAGTTAGGTTATATGCAGCATCACTAAAGAAGTGTAACAGTGCATAGCCAGATGTTGTAACAACTTCAGGCACAGTTTCATTTCCCCTTACTTCAGGAACTATCAAACCACTAAAAAAAGAACAAAATTAAATATTTTATCTATACATTATATATAGATGACTATTAAATTAAGTAAAAATTAACTCAAAAACATTCTTATTACAATCATTAAGCAGCTATATTAGAACGAATAATTCTAAAGTAAATAAATCAAAAATGAGTCCTATCCATTTCTACCCAGTTAGCTCTACTCCTGCTGCAATACACAATTACTCTCATACCACCTCACTCTTTTTTCTCATCACTATAGGACTGCTTGTTCCATTTCTCCCTTGATTGTGCTATCCATCCCGCCACAATACCAGTGTGGTCTTCTACTTAAATCATATATATTTTCATTCAGAGCTATCTTGCTACTCTACCAAGTGATCCCATTGGTTGCAAAGTCCAGTAAAGCTAGAAGAAATGCTCTACATTAACTGATTACAATAAAATTCTATTTCACACTGGATGCAAAGACACGTGCCTGCCATCCCAGAAGGAGGATGGCAAGTTCAAAGCCAGCCTCAGCAACTTCACAAGGCCCTGTCTCAAAATTTAAAAAGGGCTGAGGACGAAGTTCATTGGTAAAGCACCCCTAGGTTCAAGCCCCAGTACCAAAAAATAAAATAAAATTCTAGTTCTCTAGTATACTTCCAATACACTCATCTAGGCATTTCAGGTAATTTTAAAATACATGCTTTCTATGCTCTTTAAAATTCTGTATATTTATGCAAACTGTATTATTAATATATAACTATTTCAAAACAAAATATTGTTCTTTGAGGCCTATATGCACACATAAGAAAACTAATCTGGGGGTAGAGGAATAGAAATGTATAAGAAGTAGCATTTCAAGTAACTGGCACTTATCTTTAACCTATTTATTCATGGGGAAAAATTACATATCTTCACTTTCTTATACCATACTACCCTCTTTAATTTGTAAAAACATGCAATGAGGAAGAGAATAAGCTGCTAAAAAACTACATAAATCAAAATAGCAAATTCCTTTAAACCAAATTAAATTTGTTTAGGCACCATTACAAACTGAATTCCCTTGAATCATATTTTACACATATTAAATATTAGTCAAATAATTTATTTTTCAAACACAAACTAAAAAGTAATCAACTCTTGATTTAATGCTTTAGTAATTATTATTACAAATACTAGGTTATAATTATATGACATCTACTATAATCATTGTATATATGATTAAGTCATATAAAAACCTTCACTTGGTTCTACCTTGCTACTCCAACAAGTAATCGTATAGCTTTACCTTTTCCCACTGGTTGCAAATTCTAGTAAAGCTAGCAGGAATGCTCCACACCTACAAGGAAACTAAGATTTTTTAAAAGAGACTGTCGACAGAATTCAAATTCTGTAATATCAATCTTAGCTACACATATAGTGATTAAAGAACTAAAGCCTAAAATCACATAACATGGACTCATATTCTGACTCTATATCACTTATCAGATAGGCAACTTGGCCACTTACAGAACCTTTCTGTGGTTCAATTCTCCATTTGTAAAATGGCAATGATAATACCTAAAGGATAATAACTTGTACATAGTGATCCTTTAGGTATTATGTTTGTTATAAATAATTTGTACATTGTCTGGCACTAAATGAATACTAACTAGATGGCCAACTGCTATTTACTGGTTTATGTGAGTCCTTGCGTATCCCTTCATATGTTTTATGATCAAGTTTTCAAAACTACTTACTATTGTTCTAAAATATAAAGTCTTTAATGTGTCTACATCTTTCTACGTGTTTTTCTCTACCTAGAATATCCTATCTGGCCCCATACTTTGTCTACCACGTTTCTACTCATAAAATTCACCATGAAGGACTGGTTACTTTTTCTGAAATTATATAGCCCTCTTTTATAACCTGATTAAAATACACTTTTTCACACACTATTATGTGTGAAAAATCTGGTTTCATGCCCCCACTCCCCTTTGTGCATGACTAGTGCATACTAAGGAATTTGGCTGGTTTTTGTTCTCAGTTCTTGGAATGCAGCCTTTAAGTCCTTGGAATTCTTTGCTACTCATGGTAGGCCCTGGAAGTTTTTGCCATTGAGGTGACTTATGATGGGCCTCTAGAGTTAAGAGACAATTTAGGATGGGGGATAGCCGCACCAACAAGATAAGCCACTGAGTAAAGGGTTGGGCCATATATGGCATCAGCCTAACTTCTAAAGAGAAGAGGGAGTTCAAACTCACAGCCAAAGATTCAATCAATCATGCCTACATAATGAAACCCCAATAAAAACTCTGAACAACTAAAACTCAGGTGAACTTCCTTATTGGTAATACACATTGACTAGTTGGATGGGTGACATATCCCAAGAACACAAAGCTTTGTACCTGTAATCATTCCCAACCTCATTTTCTTCAAATGCCTCTCTTTATTTGGCTGGCTCTGATTTCTATCCTTACAATAAATCTATAGTCAGAAGTTTGGCAGTTTCCTGAATTCTAAGAGTCATTCTAGTCATTATCATCCCCAAACTCATAGCGAGATGGTTATAAGTGAGGGTGGGGACCTCTAAGCTTACAACTATTGTCGAAAGTGAAAATAGTCTTGTAGAGGTGAGTGGCCTTAATCTAGGAAGTTTGGCCCAACTCCAGGTGGCTGGTTTTTAAACTCACTGCAATGACCTGGGCCTTACTCCGTACTATACTATACCCACCACCCCCACCCAGGCTTAAGAAAGTCTCTGGAACTGAGCAGGTTAGTAAATGTGTATTGAGTAATCGTACCTACACAACTGGTACATTTCAAACACAATTCCAATTAGATTCTGATTCTTAGCAAAATGAAGTACAAACAGTAAAAATCCTAACTGGCTCTATTACCTATTAGAAGTAAACAATTTCTGATTCTTAATTCTTCAATTATGAAATGGGGATACTTTGTGAGAATGGGAGATCTTTGTGAGAAGTCAATGGCATTTAAACTATTCAGAACAGTCTTTTTTTTCTATACCTAATATATTTTTCTTCTACTCATAAAACTTTATAACATCTATAGACATACATAGAAAATGTTTTTAAACTGAGACTTAAAATACCTTAATAAGTTAAGTCTATGTGACTACTAAGAATGAAAGTTTGAAGCAACCAAGATCCCTACATTGTGACAATTGATAGAAATACCTCCTTTACTAAGCCATCACACAATGCATACCTTAACCTTTTCCCTCAGAATTTAAAATTTCAGCATTTCACTAAATAAATAGACAACTATTAAAAAAAATCTATTTCTCAAGCTAGAACTCACCCTGATCTACCCAAATATATAGTTCAAAAAACATATTCAAACCATTTTAAAAGAATAAACTATACAGAAAAAAAGAATATTTATAAAGAAATCTAAGGCCAATATAGTAGTTATTTATCCAGGCTATATTAACATTTTATATATACACACACATATATACACACACACACGCACACACTTAAGCTGACAGAGTACACAAAATAGTATTATAATCATCTTTGAAATTTAGCCATCAATATGTGCATTAAATTTATTTTTGAGTATAGGTCAATATACTTTTAATTAACAAATTATAATACTCACTTCCCTAAAACAGACTATAAATTCATCAATTAAATTTACATAATTACTCACCTAAGAACAGCTATTAAAGGTGCATATATTGAATCTCCATCATACACATACATATGATCCCAGCTACATTCTGTGGCAAAATGATTGAATCTTAATCTTAACACTGCATTTGGACTGAAAAATATTAAAATATTTTTAAATTAACAAATAATACACAAAACACAGTCAAGAAATTTTAGATAGAATATTTTATTAAAAACCTATTTACAGATCATTTTTCTATATCCTCAAATCACTAAAGTAAAAGATTAATGAACTGTCATATCTAATTTGTAAAAATGAGACTTAACTTTCAAAATCTGTTAATAGGCCATATGCAAGAATCACCATTTTCTAAAAATTTAGTCAACAGACTCTGTCTGGATTAAGGTAGAGATTACATAGCTTATACACATTACTGAAACCTTACTGAACTGCCTACTAAAGTGGGTGCATTTCATCATAGCCAACTGTATTTCTATAAAATTGATTTTAAAAATTCAATGTTCATAATGAATCGGACATAACTTTCCTAAGTTCATATATAAACACACCACAGTGTTACTCCACATCACGTACAACCACAAAAATGGGAAGTTATATTCCATCTATGTCAAAATACATTCTGCTTTATGTGTAACTAAAAAGAACAAATTTAAAAAGTTTAAAAGACACACATTAAAAAATTTCAACACTCAAGAAGCAACTATTCTTGGGCTGGGGTTATGGCTCAGCGGTACAGAGTTCACCTAGCAAGTGAGGAGCCCCTGGGTTCAATCCTCAGCACCACATAAAAAATAAATAAATAAATAAAGGTATTGTCCAACTACAACTAAAAGGCAAATATTAAAAAAAAAGAAATAATTATTCTCATTTCTATAGAACCCTTAGGTGGAGACACTAAGTTCTCCAAATCATAATTGAAAGGTCTCAATGCAATGCTATTTTTTAATGATTACTCAGTATTTTATTGAAATAAGCATACTGTAACTGATCCAATCCAGTAAGTTCTGATGGAACTAATTTATACCTCCTGTAGAGATTCCACCAGCTATTCAGAACATTTTGGGAGGAATCTCTTTCAAAACTACCTTCAGAAGCTTTTGTCTGCTACATGCAATATACTATTAACAAACAGAAACACAGGAAAAAACAGATACACAGGAAAAATTTAAAACCCTAAATTACATAAAAAATCTTTTTTAAAAACATGCTTTTCCAAATACCATACTTTTAAAAATCACAAATCCATATCAATTTACTTGTGATCTATTCACAATGCTTACATAGATAAATTCAATTTCAAGTCCTAATTAGGATATTAATTCTTTCTTCTATAAAATGTTCTTTTTTAAATACCTTTAAAAATAAAATGCTGAATAATATAAACCAATGGCATAAGTCACCATGGAATATTTTTAGACTTTCTATGGAGTTTTTAATTCCATAACAAGATGCTTTAAAAGCACCAAAAATGCCTATTTAATGCCATAGTAACTCAAAAATTATTTATACACACACATATATCTATTCTTTATATATATATATATATAATTTATTTTTCAGTTTTCAGTGGACACAACATCTTTATTTTTTATTTTTATGTGGTGCTGAGGATCGAACCCAGTGACCCGCGCATGCCAGGCGAGCCCATTACTGCTTGAGCCACATCCCCAGCCCCACACATATATCTATTCTAATATCACAAGTGAAGGGGTACTGTAATTTATAAAATATGATTTCTAAAAATTGTAAATCCCATCAAAAACATTATGAAAATAATGTTAATAAGCAATTAAACTATAAAATATAAAATTATACTTTTTAATAAAAATACTTTTTATACCATTTAATGGCATTAAATAATCATTTTTATCTTTTAGAATAAAATTAATTCAACTCAAATTGTATACTTACTAGCCTTCAATTAGCCATGTACATTTAGTTTTATACTTATAGTTAATTGGACCATCAGTTAAATATCCAGAAGGTTCTGTTAACCTAGAAAGGAAAAATTATGAAAATAATTACCTTAAAGTAACTTTAAGACATAATAAAGTAGTATGAGAAAGTTCAAAATATCATTAAGCCAAAGAAATAGGACAGCTGTTTTCAAAATAGAAGATATATTTACAACCTAAGAAAACTTTCAAATTGCCATATTTCTGAGAGAATGTGACAATTTACTTTAATTACTTAAATTAGGCATAAGAAAAATACAAGACAACAAAATAAGATGTAATAAACAATAGGAACAAACTCACAAGATACTCTAATTATTGATATTATGAAATGCATGCACTAAAACAGATATACTTAGGGCAAGATCAGGTCATTCCACAGGGTAAAATTCCAATGGAACAGATGGTAAAAGAACAAAACTGCAGATATATATAAATCATGGCATTGTAACCAGTTATAGAAACAAGGCCCATGATAGAACTGCATGGTTTCAATTTGCTTGTTATATTATATATATTTTTTCTCTCTCTCTCCTTGACTATTTTATTTTAGATACAAGTTACTGGAAGTTAACTTTATAATTTAATCTTTGGATAGAATAGTCACTGTGACTATGACTGAAAATGAAAAATATTAATATAACCAATGATCAATACAATGACTTGGAGACTATGTTTCCTCATTTTCTGGAAAGGTAAGAACTTTTTTCACTTTTAAGAAATGTGACTTCTTAAGTAGAAATAGTGTTGTTAGTTGTGGTTGGGGAATTTAAATATGTTCAGAAGGTTGCTTATGGAAGCTGAATCATCAAAGTGTGCACTGTGCCAGTTATCCATCTGTTGCCTCTCACCTCCAAATTCATCCTATTTGCCTACTCTGCGAAAATAGATCTGGGCCCTTTAAATATCTTTTTCTTTGCCAGATGGCAAGAATTTAAGCTGGCATGCTTTGTCAGTAGAGTGCCCAGGAGAGACTGCAGGAGGAAAGGGTCTTTCTTACTGGTTCCAGTGTGCTCAAGCAGCTCCTATGGTTTCTCCAGCACCAGACTCCTATAGTACACATTGGTCAACAACACCCAGTTAACAACAGTCTCCCAGGGCATTTCCTCTAAGGCAATTTTGTAGCAAAATGCCCACAGTGAGACACCTCCCCATGAATAGTTTTCCTCAACATTCTAAATAATGCCTTTATAGCAAGTTCTATAAGCAAGTCTCACCAGTGCAGCCCTGAACCGACTTTTCTCCCATTCATTAAATCACAGCCATGCCTTCCCAGCAAGAGTGGGTCTCAGGCTGAGAGGAGGAGGGGTTCTTGGGTTTTCTATCTGGGCCATTAAAGCAGCAGTGGCTGTTCCTTGTATCTATTATTTCCACCTTCTTCAGAGTTCTCCAGTTCTTACAAGCCATTTTCTCCTATCTCCATTCATTCTGTTAATTCTCATTTACATTAAACTTTTCCTGTTAAAATTATGATTATTTCCTAAATGAATCCAAACCAGTACCCTAATAATCAAAGATATGCAAAATAAAATCATAATAGTAACATAATACTTTGCACACAACAGAATGGCTAGAAATGAAAATAATGAAGATACCAAATACTGGAAAGGAGGTGGGGAAAAAAAAAACTCTAATAAGAATAAATCTGTACAACTACTTTAGAACATAATTTGATATTATCTTACATAGTTCAAAATGGACACAACTCAGTGCAGTAGCTGATGTTGTTTGTGCTACACTCACTATATTCATATCCTCTAAGACCACCTTACCATTCCTATACACTTCAGACTTACTTCTTAAATCCAGTACCTCCATCTTTGTTGAAGGGCTCTGAAGGCAGGGTTGTAAGTAACCTAGCTACACACTCAAGAGTATACCACAACACAGAGCTGATCTGCAAAGACTCAGGAGGTTTTCATTATTTCTTGGCTCTAGACAATCAAAGAAATCTGTCAAAATACTAGCAAACCACTAGCTAAATGAGTGGAGACTTCAAAAATCACACTCAATAAAGAATACAGTCATTATGGAATATTTTAGAAATTAACAACAAAAACAAACCCTGGGGATGGGGAAGAACTGTGATTTCTAGCTATCATATTATAAAGATTAAATGTCCCATTTCTGGCAAAAAAAAATAGATAGATAGACAGACACACAACATGCAAAGAAATAATAAAGCATGGCTTGGTCAAAGGAGAAATTAATAAAACTCTCCCTGAGGAAACATAGACATGGGTAGGCAAATACTGTAAATCAACTGCCTTAAAGAACTGTCAGAAATACAAGACAAAAAAAAATAAAGGAAACAAGGAAGGTAATGTCTTAACAAATAGAGAACATTAAGAAAAATTTAGAAATTTCCTTATTACAACCTCAAAGTCATATATTACTTCCATACTAATAGAAAAGCAAGATAACAAAAGAGCAAATCCTGTTTTAAAAAAAATGTGCTCTTTATGGCTCATCAACAAATCCTTGTCAGTTTCTAACTTAAGAGTTGTAACAAATTACCTTTAAAATCAAAATACTGTTGTAATTTAAATTGTGAAACCTTCCAAAATCAAGAGCTGAATCTAATGTTACAAATTATAAGTCTCAATTTAAAGTACAAACATATTTTCAGCCTATGTGATAAATAGTTTTGTGCCTCAGGGACTTAATTTTAAAGAAAATTTTAATTTGTTCCATGAACCTACCTTCCTAGCTACTTTTATTTCAATTTCTTTTAAAAAGAAGGAATGAAAGTTTAGTATATTCAAACAGCACCTTAATAAATAATTAAGAAATATATAACTCTTTTTATAAGGAAATAAAGCTGGAAATTTAAAAGTAGGCAGCCCTACTTTCCAAATATCACCCACAATTTAATCTACCACCATCCTAGCTGGGAATATACCTCCCAAACTACAGATGAGGGAATCACCTCCTCTCTCTACTGCCACAAAAAAAAAAAAGTCCCCCAGCATCACAGTACTAAGCAATCATGATGCTTCTAATTTATCCTCTGCCCATGTTTCTGACCCTACAGTCTATTTTCTATCACCCTACGTCCTCCAACTACCCAGTTCTGTCCTATGTTCCCAATACCTTGCCCTTAGTTCAAATTGAAAAAAAATCCTTCCTCCAAAGAAACATACACTCTGGGAGCTACAATAGCCCTTCTCTCTGCACTGTAAGAGGGAAGGAGCTGTTATGCCTCCCCACTGAATGTACACAACAGGAAAATCTGAAAACTACACACCCTATTCATTCTCCCTACCTTCACCTCTCATCCCTAGCACTAACAATCCTACCAAGAGCCTACCATTCCCTTCATCTACCACCAAGAGATTTTTCTCTTTGCCAATTCAAATCTAAGTATGGTAGATTGCCACAATCAAGGAATAATCAAATTCAATCAGAACAGTCTTTATACATGGTCGCCATTGTAAGTCATCCTCAAATGGACATCCTTTTAAAATAGGTTTGCTAGTTTAAATACTATTTGCTGGTTTATTGATTCTTTTTTTTTTCTTAACCTCCTTTGGCAAATAATAGTTGTACATATTTGTTGTACAAAGTAATGCTTCAATACATGTATACACTGTGAACTGAGTAAATCAGACTAATTAAAATACCCATCACCTCACATACTCATCATTTGTATGTGATGAGAACAATTAAAATCCAGTCCTTTAGCAATTTTGAAATCTACACTAACTATAGTCACCGTGTTGTGCAATAGAACACCAGGACTTACTCCTCCAAACTGAAACCTCCCCCTTTTGAACAACTTTTTCTCCTTCCTACCCAACCCAATCCCTCAGCTTCTGGTTACCACCAAGCTGCTCCCTACTTCCATGAATTCAAATTTTTAGATTCCATTTAAGTGAGATTATGAGTTATTTGTCTTGCTGTGTCTGACTTATTTTACTTTTCTATAATATCCTTTAGATTCATCCATGGTATAACAAATAACATAATTCCATTCATCCATTTTTAAGGCTCAGTAAGAGTTCTTCTGTGTATATATGCCACTTTTTTATTTGTTGATGGTCACTTAGGTTCTTCCCAATCTTGGCTATTAGAAATACTGCTGTAATGAACAGGAGGTGAAGACATCTCTTCAGAATACTGATTTCAATCTCTTTGAATATATTCCCAAATATGGGACTATTGGGTCATATGATAATTTTATTTTCAATTCTTTGTGGAACCTCCCTATTATTTTCCAAAATGGCCAATTTACTAATTTATAATCCCACTAATAGTGTGTAGGGGCATACTTTTCTCCACAACCTGGCCAACACTTGTTATCTTTCATTTTTTTTTGACAACAGTCATTTTAAAAGGTATGGGGTAATATCTCATTGTGGTTTTAGTTTGCATTTCCCTAATGATTAATGGTGAACAACTTTTTGAACAACTTTTTCTTTTTCTCTGTTTTTTGGCTTTTTATATGTCTTATTTTGAGAAATGTTTATTCAAGTTCTTTTCCTATTTTAATACAGTTATTTGTTTTCTTCATTTTTTTTTTTTTAGTTGTAGCCGGACATAATACCTTTATTTTATTTATTTATTTTTATGTGGTGCTGAGGATCGAACCCAGGGTCTCACATGTGCTAGGCAAGCGCTCTACCACTAAGCCACAACCCCAACCCCTGTTTTCTTTATTATTTAGTGGAGTATTTTGTTTGTTTTTGTTGTTTTTTGTTTTGTTTTGTTTTGTTCTGTTCTGTTTTGGGGGGGGGGGGTTGGTACTGGAGATTGAACCCAGGGGCACTTTACCACTGAGCCATGTTCCCAGCCCTTTTTTATTTTTTCTTTTGAAACTCACGCTTACTTCAACTACCATGCAGTATCACCAAGATATACCATGCTCTCACTTCATCTGACATGCAGTATCACCAAATATACCATAATTTTCTGAGGCTAGTCTCAAACTTGCAATCCTCCTGTCTCACCCTCCCAGGTCACTAGAATTATAGACATGCACCACCACACCTGGATGTTTTCTTATTATTAAATAGTTTGAGTTCTTTAATCATTTTGGAT